GCGACAGTGGCAGATACGGAACAATTTTTGTTATTTAATGAGGAAAAACTGTGGAAATGACTGCGACAACAATTGATGAGCATTCAGGTAATAACCCATAAAAATCCAACAAAAATGAAAGTATATCCTCTGCGAAAACAAGAATCCAAAAAGACATACGAAATCTTTTCATTCATATTACAGTTTTTGAAAAACCACATATCAAAGCATTTTCTTTATCTTTCCGAGCGGAGCGAGCATAACATATACATTAAAATAACTGCAAGGTTCAAACCACACAGTAACTTCCTTAAAAAACTAATAAAGTGAGAAAAGATACAAATACTTTTACTTTCCGTAACAAACACTTACTGTTAGGGTTAAAAAAAATTCTTAAGAAATAAAAAAAAACTACGAAACCATTATACGAGGAGCGTTAAAAAATGACTTTTTATTTTTCGCGAAAAATTTTTATTTATTCATCGATCTCTATTTTATCCTCTCCAAAATAATACACCTCAGATATAGTACACATGTACCAGAGCTCTTTCCTCGAAGCGCTTTTGACATGCGCTTTTTAGCATGACCTTGAGCTCTTCCAACGATCAACGGTCTTTACCTCCTTGATCGTTGGTACACCTCAGTCCTTTTACGGGTCTTTTCAGTTTTGGGGGCAGGAAAAAGTAGTAAGGGACCAAGTCTGGTGGAAAGGGGGTTTCTTTTTCGTCAAAAAATTTCGAACATTTTGAGCTGACGCCTTATCACGGCACAATATTCACGACCGGTTGTTCCACGCCATTATAACTGAAGAAAACAGTGAGCAAAACCTACACATTTGACTAAATCTTGCTTGCTTCTTTCGATCTTGACTGTTCTGGCCGTTTTCATTGGGTTTATTAAGCTTTGGTTTCGACGTCAAAACTATACACACATATTTCGTCGTCAACTGTTGGCCTTTCGTGCAAATCTGGATCGTTGTTGACACCATTCAACAGCTCCTTTTGATTGAAATTTAGCAATTTCGAAGCAAGCTTCATTGATCGGTTGCATACCAACCGATATGTTGACCCTCTCAGCAACTTCTCTAATAGTTCAAAGTTTTCATCGGTTGTTGATATGCTGGGGCGCCCAGGAGGCTTGTATAACATTTATAAACATTCTTCTTTGCTCGTAGTAGACACTCCAAATACCATAGTCAGCATTTTAATTGAGTGGACACACTACTTCATTTCAACTTTCGTCCAAAATTTAATACAGACTTTTTGATCCATCTTTTCCGATAGCAAAAAATAGCCAAGCACACAAAAGCACGTCTAACAAAATCTAGCAAAATGACGGATAATGCCAACATATGGACATATGTGTAGGAACATAACCAAAAAACATATATATTTTCCATCGCTGCGTGTACCGTTATCAGTACGCGTGTCCACACGTATCGCAAATATCATTGCATCGCGCAATGTAGTAATAACGACAATTAGTTTTTGGGTTACAATACCTTATTTTAAAATATTTAACTTGGCGTATAAATGAGCATGTACTGAAAATGGTGCATGTAGCAGAAAAAACGCTAAGGATAAATTCCTAAATTGTAATTTAGTGTTGATAAAAGCAATCAACAAATGAAGTTCTCAAAGTTAGAAAGGGAACGAAACAAGGAAATTATAATTATTGCAACATGTCAGAGGCTAGAAGTTTCGAGCGTTAACTCTGGCCTATCCCAAGTAATGCTACACACGTGAAAAGGAAGAGAAAATTGACAAAAATCTGCGCTGGTCACTTGTTCGTCCGTTCAGGTATCCTCTCTAATACGTCCCTCAAACATTAAATACGTATGTATAAAGATAAATACGTATGTAAGATAAATTCGTATTTAACTAACACTAACAACGACATTTCTCGCCTTCCTCAGCAGAGGGCCGTAAACGCCATAGTGTTGCCGTATAAATTCCCGAGGTTAAGTAAATTTCAGTCGAATTCTCTAGTTTGGCCGCTCAAAAGCCTTTAATTTAACCATTTTCCCATAGTCGGTTAATGCTTACATGCCGCGTTTCAAAAATTTGGTAAAAATAATTCCGAAAACTAGGATTCGAAAGTTCTTTTAATATAGATTCATGACATGTCCACATAAATATTTTATGTTTCCCGAAATTGAACGAAGTAAACTACAAAATTCAGTCATATCTATATCGTGACTACTTAACAGATCTCTTTTAAGGAAGATTGTAAATGCCTTTCCGAGTTAAATTCGAATTTACCTTTACACCATTTGTATGTCTATCCATTATCTATCTATTCTCATGTCGCGTACCCATATCCAGCTTTTCTAACCTTAAAATTTCGTGAATATATTGAAATAAACAAAATTTTATAGAACCTTATAAAAGACATTGAATTCACTAAAATCTCCATGCATTATATCAGAATTACTCAAACGTGTTATTAAACTTTGTCACATTGGGATAGACTCGTTGTCTATTTATATACTAGGCCAACCATTTACCAAGTCTGCTCGTATAAAGCTATCTTGTAGGTACATTCTTGAGCAGCTGACATTCGAGACAAATACAGTGAAGAAACTTTACGGCAATATCCACGATTATTATCGTATATTGTGAAAACAAGTCCCATCCAGACGATGCCACTTCACTCGACTTGAATCCGCACTCACTATGGCGTGAATATTTTCCTACGCCAATTTGGTTGATAAACAAACAAGACGACTGAGCCACGCCAGGACATAATATTCATAACCAACATATTTAAAACGGCATCCATCAAAATTTTTATAACTTTCACAGAGTAGTAGCTGAGGTTTCTACAACTATTTTAAGAATTTATGACCACCGCCTACATTTAGCTGTAGACGCAACCAACTAACCAGCTATAGTAAAACGATCCATGTAATTAATTGCATTTACAAACACATAGAACAGTGGCACTGAAGAGTTGCATTCGGGTGGATTTTATTGAATTTTTAATATCGACACCACGACTTTTGCTGCGTACACTTTTACTCCCTGATGATTGCATTAGGTACTAAAATGAATAAATTGCTGGCAGTTGACCGCAGTCAGTTCGATCTGCATTTACCTCTCCGTGACCATCGGTGTTGTTTTTGTCATTTTCAAAATTTGAAGATGGTTGAAGCATTAGACTCGGCAAGATAATAGTTTAGTATTATTAATCATTTTTAGAACAGAATCTTTAAAAATGTCAACGTCCTTAGGACGGCAGTGCAAAGACGTTATAGATAGTTTGTTCTTCTTGTCATCTGTTGGAATACTTTGTTCCCTGAGATATTTACAAACTCATGCCAATACATGACGATAGCTTGTCGTGCTATATTTTAAGATTTTAAATATTTTGCTTTTAATGTTTAATATGAAAATCGGCCAAACTGGTCAGAGCAGAAACGCGGAGTGGAGTGTAAACTGTACGTAACTTCGTTTTTTTAAACATAAAATTTTGTATTTTTACTCGTTACTCGGAAGTTATAAAATTTGGGAGACTGAAATTTTCCACGTTTGCTTTACGAAACGCATCTAAAATTGAAAAGAATCGACCATGCCCACACATTTAATTTTATTTCTTCTCTTTTATGCTTATTCATTATAAGGCAAAGAAACCGAAAAAGCTTAATATATCATCCACCACAAGTGATTTAGGATACAAAAACTGATCTTCCGTAAATGTTATATAGCTAAACTAAGTAGTAGTAGTAAGAACTGAATACAAAGACGATTTCAATTCTCGATTAACAGACACACCCAGAATTACTTTAAAAAAGAAATATTTACGGTAAGTTGATTCGGCGGATATTTGCTTTACGACGAACTTGTCTGCTTATTTATTTATAAACAAAAAATTAAGACGGCTTAAACTAAGTGCTTACCTTTTACAATAGTTGCCAAGTCCTCAGATGATAATGGTGATAAAGATGATAATAATGATGATAGTAATGACGATGAGTCTGTCCTTGACCGAATTTCCACAAATGACGAAAGCGGAAGCTTACTATATTAGAAGATATATAGTATGTATTTGTAATGCTCGTGCACTCTCGACAGCACATAGATTATATGCACAACATATATCACATACGTTTGTAAACATATACCGACAAACACGTAAAGACACGAGATTTATATTTATTAACAATAAACTTTTACACATTTACTCATCTTAAATTAAATAAGTTTTTATCAAAGATAAATTTTGGGAATAAAAGCATGCCTGCCACATCCAAATAAATTGCACATAATTATTATTAAGCTAATACTTACCTTAGAACAAATTTATGTAAACTACAAAATACTTATTGCACTTAACTTTTAAAACATAATAACATCAAATTTTTAGATCATTTGTCTAACTTTATTTCAATTAATTTGAAACTTTGAATTATTTAAATGCAATTTAGCTAAGTTAGTTAATATTAGTTTAAGTAACACAGTTAAGAACACAACCTGAATATCTTATGCATAATTTTTCTGCGCTTTTTTTACTTTAAGCTTATAATAATCGGCATTTGGCTGGCGAAATTTTTTTTTGTTTTTGGTGGGGAATTATTTTTGTATACAAAACCAAACATATGCAATCTACATAGTTGCATAGTACAGCTAAAAGTGCCAAAGTTCGTAAATAAATCGCATAATAATAAATAAAATTGGCAGCATTTGTAGCAGAGTTGCTTAATTTCCGACTAATTACAAAGAATGCTTATTATAATCATAATAAATTGATACAACCATGTGATTTTTTTTTGTTCGTTGATTCGCTAAAACAACGATATTAAGTTAATTTTTGTCGGCTGGGGTGTTAAACACGTTTTTTGAGATTGTCGCAACGAATTGGATTTTTATTATTATAATTTTCTCTTGAAATTTATCATTTTTGAAACTGAAAAAAAATAACTAGTTAAAAATTTTTCACTTATTATTATTGATCATTTGCGAACACATTAAACCAGTAGCAGTTATTGATTTCAGTGAATTAATTCAATTCTCCTTAATAATATGGATCCACAAAAACTGACTGAATTGTTGCGTGCAACAATTGATCCAAATGTGGAACAGAGGAAGGCAGCTGAAGAACAATTGTCGCAGGTTAGTATTGATGTGCTAGATAATGTACCATAATATTTTTTCTAAGAAAAGAAAAAGAAAAGAAACATCTAGATATCATGTAAACATTTTCCAGGTTTTCCATAATTATGACCCTCAGAATAATTTTACTCACAAAAATAGCCCTCAAATCAATTTCATTCGCAAGAATAACCCTCATACAATGATTACAAATCAATTGCCAGAAAATTTATTTATGTGAAGGTTAAGAAGTTTGTGTGGTACTTTGCTAATCAAATGCCGCCTTAATGGCGGATGGCACACAATGTCTTGCATACAAAATGTTCTCATAATGAATAATCATTTCTAAACTTAAAAAACATGTGCTTCTTACTCTTTAAAAGTTCCCAAAATTATATTGTGTTTAAAAATAAGAGAAGAAAAAATTTTTTTAACTTAAATAAAAGTCAATTCCATTGAAAAATTGAAATGTCCAAATTATTAGAAAAATAAGTTTCTCTCATTTCCCTTATGTTTTCATTTTCTTTATATTTGCTCTTTCTCTTGTTCTTACCACAAAAAACATGCATGCATATGCACGTATAGTGTTTTGTTATTATTTCTGTAGATAAGGAAAAAATTTTACAAAATACCAAAGGATAAGCAGGAATTGCTTATTTTTAATAAACCCCCAATCTTCAATACAAATTAATTGAATATAAGAAAGTAAACAATAATTATAATAAAGAAAAAATACTCATAGCGTTAGCATTCAGTTATTTTAAATAAAAACAAACCCCTCTCATTAATTATAAAAATGCTTGCTGAAATGAAGGCCGACGGGATTTGTGTTTCAAATTGAAAATCTTACGGTCTAGAAGAATTCTTTACTTTATCCCATCAACTTTGCTAGAAATATGAGCACAGGGCAAGTAAAGAAGTAGTCCATTATGCCACTTAAAATAGGTATTAAATATCGCTGACGTGCATTCTGAATTTTGTGGTTCTAAGTTCAAGTAAGTAAAGAAAGTTTTTGTAGTTGGCACCTACTAATTACTTAGAAAGACATTTTTAAGTTATTGTGGACTTTCCCATATTAGGATGCAGTGCTCTCAACCAAATTGCCCTAAATTTCAGTTTTGTATTACATATACCGAGCATGGCTTTCTTGCTAGAAGAGGAGGGAAAAATATATTATTTTGTGAAAAAGTAAAAAAGAAGAGTTTTTCAACGTACTTTTCCGCAAGAATCAAAGATACAAAGTGCTGCTGGCTCTCGTCGAGAAAGTATATAAAAAATTGTTAATTCACTATTTCACAGAATCAGCATCAGATTATAGTTAGAATATATAAAAATTCATTTAAATCTATGTAATAGAACTAGAGTACTATAGGCAAACACTAGAATCCTGTAAAGTTCCATAGTAACATATATTTTTCAAATCCTTTAAAAGAAACTTCTTTTTTGTAATACAATGTTAACGATAATTTTGGAAAAAAAATTATACCCTACCAGTTAAATAGTTATTTAAAAAGAACCAAGAAAATGAGATCGCACACACGTACGAATCCTATTTTATATCGATGATCAAGAACTGGACACTCCCAACTCGGATCTTGCCTGAAAACCATATTTTTTACATCTTAGTTTTATAGTGGCCTAATATTCAATTCAAATAAAACAATTTCAAAATCATATGACATGACTTGATGCTTGAAGATGTCGCGGTTTTATGCGGTACAACATAACCGAAATAGGAATCGTTTTTCAAGCCAATGAGTTTGGGTTTGTTACCGTAATAATGTAGTAGACGAGATTCAAAAGCCTTTTCAACTACCAAATGAACTAAGCTCGCTCCCGATGAGTGGACACGAACTCTACCTACCAAGTTTTAAGGCAAAAAATTATAACATATGCACATGGCTTGATTTACAACATTTTAATTCTTCTGAAATTCATTTAAAATGAATAATGCTCGACATGTTAAGTAGTGAAAGAATTGAGTTCAAAGGGCAGTCTTCCCCGAAATACTAACTTGAATCTTTTGCTCAAATTCTTTGCATATGAATTTGAAAGATGAAAATAATTTTTATCTTAAAACGAGACGTTTCCATTACTACTACTGAGCATCTATTCTTGCTTATGCTTTTTTTGTTTTTTCTGTTCTATGACCTGATCTCTGTTCGAACATGTCGACCCTTTATAAATTGTATGCCTTTCCTAATTTAAAATACATTTAATAAAATATTTTGCCTGCAAATAATTTGTTGAAAGAAGAAAAAAAAAAGTTTATTATCTATTACTTGAACACGTACCTTCCTTTCTCTCACTTGCCTGCCTCACTTGCATGCATATATATATATATATATATAGAAAACGTTAATAACATGAAAAAGAAAGCAGAAAAAAAAAAAAGAAAAGCATATGGTGTGGTTTTAGTTAAATAAATGACTCATTGTCTAATAATTGGAGAAGAATTTTATTAAATAATCTCTTCTTCCTTTACTAATAATTTCGCTTTTTTTTGCTTTCCCCCCATATCACATACAATAGATACATAAAATCATTGGCTTTGTGCCGACTATTTTGCAAATTGTTATGCAAAATAATTTGGAGCAACCGGTGCGTCAAGCTGGAGCTGTTTATCTTAAAAATCTTATAACAAGCAGTTGGGCCGATCATGAGGTTAAACCCGGTGAACCAATACGTTTTTCAATACATGAACAGGATCGCGCAATGATACGTGGCTCAATAGTGGATGCCATCGTACACGCCCCCGATTTAATAAAGTACTGTAACTACTCTAACAGTTAGTCTTTTACTTTTTATATCCCAATGCTTTTCTATTTTATTAGGAATCAATTAGCGGTCTGCGTTAATCATATAATCAAAAATGATTTTCCTGGACGTTGGACTCAAGTAGTTGATAATATTAGTATTTATTTGCAAAACCCGGATGTGAACGCTTGGAGCGGTGCACTATTAACGATGTATCAATTAATCAAGACTTACGAGTATAAACGTTCCGAGGAACGTGTACCTTTAAATGAGGCCATGAATTTATTATTGCCCATGTTATATCAATTAATGGTTACCCTCATGAATGATCAATCGGAGCAATCGGTGCTATTGCAAAAACAGATTTTGAAAATCTATTATGCCTTAACACAATACTCCTTGCCCCTGGATTTGATAACGAAGGAAATGTTCTCGCAATGGATGGAAATTTGTCGGCAAGTCGCCGATCGTACTTTACCCGATTGCTCGCATTTGGATGATGATGAGAAACCGGAATTTCCATGGTGGAAAACCAAAAAATGGGCTTTACATATCATGCTACGTATGTTCGAGCGGTAAGTAATTAATATTTATACAAATTTTTATTATAAAGAACGAAGACAAAAAACTCTATTTATATTTTACACAGCTATGGCAGTCCTCGTAGCGTCGTTAGTGAAAAATATGAGAAATTTGCTGATTGGTATTTACCGACATTTACACAAGGTGTTCTGGAAGTTATGCTAAAGATACTTGATCAATACCGTAACCGCATTTATGTTTCACCTCGGGTGCTCTCTGATGTTCTCGCTTATCTCAAAAATGCGTCAGTGTTTCCCATTTTCTACTTTATTTAAAAAAAAAAAAAACGAAATCGGTAGATTTTGTTTTTGTTGAAATTTTTTTCATTTTTACAGAATAAGCCATGCCTACTCGTGGAAATTAATAAAACCTCATATGTTAGCTATTATACAAGACGTGATATTTCCTATCATGTCCTTTACCGATAGTGATCAAGAATTGTGGGAAACTGATCCGCATGAATTCATACGTTTGAAATTTGGTATGTGCTTTGAAATTCAATTCTAAATTTAATTTACGTTAGATTTGTTTTTTTTTTTTTCTTTTTTTTTTCTTTCTTTCTTAACTTTCGGCAGATATATTTGAAGACTATGCTACACCGGTACCAGCTGCCCAGTTATTATTACATTCATGTTGTAAAAAACGCAAAGGCATTCTACCCAAAACGATGAACATTATAATGCAGGTAAAATTGTAATTATGTTACACAGACATAAGATGCTTTAATAAAAAATTTCGTATTCATTTATCATTTTGCGTAGATAATTACCTCACCGAACGCCGATAATAAACAAAAAGATGGTGCCTTGCATATGATTGGCACATTGGCTGATATACTATTAAAACGACGCATTTATCGTGATCAGGTGGAGACGATGCTTACTACGCATGTTTTTCCTGAATTTCGTAATCCGGCTGGTCATATGCGTGCACGGGCCTGCTGGGTATTACATTATTTCTGTGACATTAAATTGAATAATCCTCATGTTTTGGCCGAAATTATGCGTTTAACCACTTATTGCCTTTTGAATGATAATGAATTGCCGGTTAAGGTGGAGGCTGCAATTGGCTTACAAATGTTCCTAAGCTCTCAAAATGAGGCTGCCCCGTTTGTCGAAAATCAAATTAAGGAAATTACCAAAGAGCTCTTAACAATTATACGTGAAACGGAAAATGAAGATCTGACCAATGTATTGCAAAAAATTGTTTGTACATTTTCGGAACAATTACTGCCAGTAGCCATGGAAATCTGCCAACATTTAGCAACCACATTCAGTCAGGTATTAGAATCCGAGGACAGTGGAGATGAGAAAGCGATTACGGCTATGGGTTTACTAAACACTATCGAGACTTTACTAACCGTAATGGAAGATCATCCGGAGGTTTTAAACAATTTACATCCCATTGTTATAAATGTGGTGGGACATATATTTCAAAATAATATCACCGGTAAGTTGAATGCCATCATATTTCAAATAATTATCTCAAATATTTTTATTAATAATGGAAGATATGCCATCCATAAATTAAATAGAAATACATTTATTAATAATATTTAGTAATAACTCAAATCTATTATGCATATGCCTGGCATTATTGCACTGTTGAAAGAATACTTACTTAATATAGTATATGAATATTCATTTATTATTATTGGATTGTTTGGAAAGTCATTAGTCAAGATGCAAACCGATGAATAACCAATTGATAAAATCGCTAAGAGAACGAATTCGTTCGTTCATAACAATATATTTATCCAATATAGAAAAATTGTCTTTCATTTTCAAAAAAAAAAGACGAAATGTTTTTCCAAACAATCCAAAACACCTAGCAATAATATGAATCTTATCAAAGATTTCGTAAATAAGTTAATTGATTATTTGTTTAAGATCCTTTTAAATTATTCTTTTGAATAGATTTCTATGAAGAGACTTTCTCATTGGTTTACGATTTAACTGCTAAATCAATATCAGCGGAGATGTGGCAAATGCTAGAGCTAATTTATCAGGTTTTCAAAAAGGATGGCATGGATTATTTTATTGATATCATGCCAGCTTTGCACAATTATGTTACCGTAGATACACCAGCATTCCTCTCGAATCCCAACCGTTTATTAGCAATGTTTGATATGTGTAAATCCGTAAGTAATTCAATGCTCAGTTTTTAAGTATAACAAATTTTATTAATTTTTCAATTTTATTTTAAAAAAAAAATAGATGTTAACTAGCAATCCTGGTGAAGATCCCGAATGCCATGCAGCAAAGTTATTGGAAGTTATTATTTTGCAATGTAAAGGGCAAATCGATTCCGTTATACCAATGTTTGTTGAATTGGCTTTATCGCGTTTAACGCGTGAGGTGCAATCATCTGAATTGCGTACCATGTGTTTACAGGTAATATGACCGCGTGCGTGCTTGCATATTAAATACTTTTATAATATATATTTTTTGATTGCTTTTTTTTTTCTCTCTCTCTTTTACTTCAAATCTATTTAAGGTGGTTATCGCTGCTTTGTATTATAATCCGCAGTTATTACTGTCCATTCTGGACAAGATGTCAGAGCCAAATAATGAACCTATAGCATCACATTTTATAAAGCAATGGTTGCACGATGCTGATTGTTTCTTAGGGTAAGTTGTTCATCTTTTTAAGGCATAAAATGTAAATTTTATTAAAAATTACCTCGCATTACTTGTAACCAACATCGATGAATAATAATCAAATTATATCGCGGCATTGTCTAGCCGTATTCTAGCCACCAAGTATAACGATCGTTAGAACAAAAAAGAAAAAAAATGTGCCTGATGAAGATAAATGTAATAATCCTTAAGTGCTTAGTGCCTTAAGCGTTAAGTGCTTCACAAAATAATCTTATTATTATTCATCAACGATGACCGCAGATAATTCATGCGAGAAAATTGTTATCCGCTAGTAATGAGCGTAACCTCATATTTCACCTTTCTTTATATTGAATAGTATCCACGACCGCAAGCTATGCGTTTTAGGTTTGTGTACATTAATCTCATTGGGTGAAGCTAAACCGGCTGTATTGAGTGAGGTATCTGGTAAAATTATCCCGTCTCTAATTTTACTTTTTGATGGTTTAAAACGTGCCTACGAATCAAGAGCTCAGGAAGAAGAAGGCGAAGAGGAAGAGGAAGATGAGGAATGTGAAGGTAAATTCGTACCGTTTCTATATGCGAAAAGTAGTGATAACATCTTTTTTTCTGTGTAGAAGCCTTGTCAAGTGATGAAGATGATATAAGAGAATTTTCTTCGGGTTATTTGGAGCAAATTGCTGACTATAGTAAAACTAAAGCCGCCGAGGCTGGCTTTGATATGAAGGCTGAAATTAAAGACGAAGACGACGAGTCGGATGATGAAGAAGAAGAATCACTGGACGATCTAAATGAAACCGCCTTAGAGGCGTTCACCACACCTATCGATGACGAAGAAGCGGACAATGCCATCGATGAATATGTCACGTTTAAAGAAGTTATAACAGGTGTGATATGAATTTATATAAATATTTTTTTTTTCAATGCCCAACGGATGCCACGCTTTTTTCTGATACTCAATTTGCGGCTCTACCGCTTTTGTCCTTTCTTTTGTGAGATCTAGAAAAATTCATCAAATTCCTTAAAGATTGTACACTTTTAATTTAATACAAGACTCGGAGTCGATTTCGTAATATTCATTTGTCCGTCCTACTGTTGTTACAACGCTCGCAATTGCAATTATTGTGATAAAAAGCTTCAACGATGAATTGATCGATAAAAATCAGTATAGATTATGGGTGAACAAAAACTGCAACTTACAGCGGAGAGCACAGATTTATCTTAAACTTGGCGCACATCTGCAAATCTGCAGTTAACGAAGTACTTTGCAGTACAAATGATATATACATATATGTATATGTATATCTATGACAATCTGTCAAATTGAAACTTAGAATTGTATGAATTGAGTTAGAAATTTAAGAAATCATTCTGGAAGCAGTTTTCTGTACTGTAAGGTGGTGTGGCGGGCATCGTAGATTTTGTCTAAGATGCGAAAAAAACCTTGAACACTCTTTATTTCAATATTTTCAGCGCTTTCAAATCAAGATCAAGCATGGTACGCTGTATTAACTTCTGCTTTGACATCGGAACAAGCAAAATCATTGCAAGAGGTTGTTGTAACCGCTGATCAACGTAAAGCAGCCAAAGAATCAAAATTAATAGAGAAACGTGGTGGTTTTGCATTTACCCAACAAACGGTGCCCACTTCTTTTAAATTTGGCTCGTAATGGTCACCTATGCCACCACCACCATCGTGAAAGCAACAGTTTTTTGAGAAAAGCATTTCCTTCCAATATCATGTATAACAATATGAAACAAAAAAAAAAAGAAAAAAAAACAAAAACAAAAGCAACTACGACACAACACAAATACTTTGGTAGTATGTTAAAGCCACACAAACACATAATACACATTTACATACCCTCGCCTGTCAATAGGTAAAAATTGGGGGGAGGGGGGACAAATAATTGTTTATTATTATTTTGCTTGATAATTATTTATTATGTAATGTTTTTGCGTTCAGATTTTCTTTTTTTTTTTTTTTTTATTTTAATTTGTATAAATAACTCTTCCCACCTCTCAGTCCGGTCTGGATACGTTTTCCGCTTACGAAAGTGCATGAAATCAGTTAATTGGTTTCGAAAAATAGAGGAATTTTTTTTGTTTACCCGACAAATCTCATCGAATGGGATCGTTTTAGGAAGAGCATTTTAACAAAAAAAAAGTTTCAATTTTTTTTTTTTTCTATAGGAGAAAAACTTTAAAATATGAACAAATTCTATATAAAGACAGCACATTAAGCAACAACTACAATAACCACAAAACAATATTAATAACAACAACAGATGTACATTTTTTATATAAATTTTAAAAAAGAAAAATGAAAAATCGGGAAAAGTTCAGTAAAAATTTTTATTACGTTTGTATTAAACACAAAAAATAAGGAGAAACGAAAGAAGAAAAAAATAAATATTTAATTAATAACAAGAGGAAATATTTGGAGCAGAGGAATTTCAAAGCGAATATTAAACATACTCTGAGTTAACAGCTTTCAATACCAAATTCCAATGTCTTTTTAAAGATTTCGGCCAAAGTCCGCGTTTTGTCTCCAAACTAAACGAAGTGTACGAGTCTTGCGATTTTTCTTTGCGCTAAGAAAATGTGACAATGAACTTCAGAAAATGTATACAAATTTTTTGTATAATACTGACGTATTCACTCTTACATATAACAGCTTAAGGAGTTCAGACACAAACATATGACAATTGGGAATGACTGCGAGACCATCTAATTGAATAAGCACTGGAGACTGAAGTTGTCCAACATTTACTCCATCTAGCCTCCTTATAGGAAGTAGAGATTCGATGCAAGCATATTTGTTTCAGATAATATACTGTGCAATTGGTACGGATGCATGTAAGGCCCCAGAGGAGCTAATTATATATCCAGTATTTGCTATACCGATCGATTCAATCATATTCTGAATTAAATTTTGATATGTCGACTTGTTTTCGTCCAAGGATAAACGTTAAAGTGGACCACCGTTACGACCATTCCCGTTTAAAGGTCTTCACAAAGGGCCTTCCATTAAGGATACTATTTAAAATTTGAAAAAACAATTCGACATTGAGGGACATTTTGCCATAGATGGGAATATAATTTGTCCTAAAGCCTGCAGCGCTTAATCGTTAGGTCAGATCAGGGCAGGAGCAAAAGGAGTGACTGTTGAAAGTTTCGACTTCGTCAACTTCTACAGAGATTATCCACCTCTAAACCGTCAAGCATAGGAGTACCTCATTATGCGATTCGTACTCTCGAAACTTGTTAAACCTTCCTGTCACGCTAACTTGCAGCAGCATGCAGAATTCTCGATTTTATGAATTACGCTTATTGTCAACCTCGAGGTTGTTGTACGTTCTTAATTTATAAGCTACGGAAATGGTCAAGATATTGGATTTCATTTGTCGCAACGTTGCAGAAACTATCCAAATTTGAAGCGTGAAAGAGAGTCATGTTCTTTTTTTTATATCTACATTTACCAACGTCAGGATTGGAAGACCGTGTATTGACAATGCAAATCCCACATAGAAAGAGCCGCAACCTTTCACTAATTACTGTTTTCATTAAGCGTAACGGAGGGACCACGGCGATCCGCCCATAAGTTTTCTCTAAGTAATCGTTAGTTTGCATTCATTTTCCCGAGGATGGCTGGGGCAAGAAGACACCAGCCAGCTGACATAATAGCTAAGTAAGTTTCTCATCCACACTGCCCATATAGCCCATAGACGGATCATTTTCACAACACAGCATTTCAATTTCCAGATAATTTTACATCTCGTTGTATGAAGTAATCAATCCCATTACTAGCAACATGAGCAGCCTTAATTTGATAAAATTTATGTTTTATTATTATAGTTGTTGTCACTTTGTACCACATTTCGTATTCTAAACCAAAATTGACAACAAAACTCTCCAATAACAATTTTGTGGTAAAACAGGTTTGTTAGCTTATGAAAATCATAATTTGAAGTGTGAAAAAAGAAGAGAAAATATATGGCCGGATGGCATATAAATAAAAAAAAAAATTTCAAAATAGAAAACATTTTGACATTATTAAATATTATTATTATTTTAATATAACAATTAATATATCATTCTTTGTGTATATATAACTCGTAAAAGAGATTACTGCAAATACCCCCAGAAGCAATTGAATTATTATTTCGCATGGAAATAAAGAAAAATAAAATTAACTCTGACAAATAAATAGCAAATGAAATATTTATCCGAGAAATTGGCTGCAAAGTTAATTAATGTGGTTGGACCTAGTGGAAGTGCGCGGAAATGAAAAGAAGTATGTATAGGTGAATATATGAAAAAGTATTTGTTTAAAATAATATTAATTTTATTTTCAGTCTTTAAATGATTGGACAAATCAACGAAGATTCAGGGCTCCTTTGCGTTGAAAATTTTTTTTTTT